ACACACACTTTTTCATATACAAATGCACACATATACATTTTAAGATTCAAATTAAATTTAAAATTAGAAGTTAAGAAAGAAGAAAGTTGAAAATTGTTAAAAATAAAAATTGTTTGTTTTGTTTTGACGATGTTTGGAAATGTAAAAATTAAACACTACATTAAGTATAAGTTAAAAATGTTAAATATGCATTTATAGCTATGGAAGAGCGGTGCCTCCTGACACAGGCTTGATAAGCTTAAGAGGTACCATCCACTGTTAATGTAAAATTCATTGTATTACTGAAATAAACATTTTATTTTTATTATTTTATTTTATTATACTTTGGCTTTGGTTTCGCATAACAGTGAAAGTGTAGAATCAATCACTCTGGAAAATTTACGTACATAGTAAAATTTAGGAAATACTCTAATTACTATACGGTGTGAAAACACGATTCCTAAACATTTTCACGATTAAAAAAATTAAAATTGAGGAGAGTTAGTAGTAGAGGAGAAAAAAAGCACAAACTGACCTCGATATTTTACAAGAAAATCGCAGTATTCAATAGGTACTTTACATATAACATATAAGTACCAATGATTTTTTTTATATCAACTGAACTAAACAGAACATGTATACTATCCGATACACATTTTTCAAATGGCTTCAAATTCGTTTATAAAAAGATAAATTCTGAATTAAAACAAGTGGCCCTGCCTGCATTGTAATTTTTAAGTTAATTGAATATCACGATATTCTATGTTATGACCATGATATTCAATTATTTTCTTGAGAAATCACTTTTTTTATGATACGAAGTGACTGGACGAAAAAAGTTGTGCGCCTGATGTTAACCGACGCGACTGCTCATAACAATTGCAGTGCCACTCAGAGCTTTAAATCGCAAAGATCTGAGGTGCACTGCCTCTGTGTCCATAACCCTGAGACATAAGTTGAAAAGTCCCATTTGCCTGTAATTTCACCGGCACCCTTACCCTTCAAAACCGGAACACAGTAACGCTGACACCAGAAAAAGGTAAGGTGGCAGTACTATCCTGGACGAACTCTTTCACAAGGAGCTGTACTGCTACTAAGTTATTTCACTAGTTTGTTATAAGTATTAAAACTAAAAATTCATTTTTTTTTTAAATTCACTACTTACTTGAACCACGGATGGTTGTAACAACCTACAAAGAGAAAAGAAAAAGTTTACAGTTTGTTATACTTATTAATAATAAAGATGGAACACTTTAGAAAAAATTCCTTCGATCCGGCCAGTTTAGAACAGACGTCTTCTAGCAAACCGTGCCAGACGCTATGCCAACTACACCGCCGACGCAGAGAACCAGCGGACCTTACGAATTTTTCTGTGTGCTTGTTACAGATCTATTTTATGAACTCTTACAAACGGGTCAGATCGAAGAAATGTTCTTCTAAACTGTTCGATCTTTATTATTAATAATTATTAAGAAACTAGTGAAGCAATTTCACAAAAAATAATGGAATGAATGAATCATGGTAGTAAAACATCGTGACATTCAATAAAAGCTTGAAAAAGTTTACTTTAGCAACAAGTGTCACAATAGTTCCAAAATTTACCGCTAGATGGCATTGGCATAGAAAATGCAATTTCTGAATCGCGATGTTAAGATTTTCCCCAAAACGGCTCATTCACTACCTGCAAATCAGTCCGCCGCGCAGGCTGGAGACAACTCACACACTATCCTGCGTATGGCCTACGTATGAAGCCTCACAGGACGCATTGCAGTATTGCAGGATGGCTTGCACGCTTCAACTACATTTTTTTATCCTGCATTAAGCGGCGGACTGCAATGCAGGATAATGAATGCCTCCTTTAATGTAAGAACCATGGCTAGTGTTTTGTAACACTAGTTCCGATGTTTACCACTAGATAGCATTGCCATAGAAAACGCAATTTCTGAATCATGATGTTAAGATTCTCCCTAATAGCTGTAATGACTTGTCGCTAATATTTTGTATGAAATTGATCTGATCTATTCTTCTAATTGTCTGTAATTATTATCGATCGATTCAACGATTGCATTTATACGGTTATCCTCATTAATAAGGAAGCATCTCGAACTCGCGCCCATCTTTTGGGACAAGTTACGAAAACACCTCAGAGTGAATGTCTTTTTGTAAGAGTCACACCCACCGGGACATGCAACTGGACGAATCCCTTTTATTCGAAATACAACAAAACACTTGCATCAAAAAAAGGAACGAACATAATATAACGAAGTATAATTATGTAATATATAAGTGTATCACAAATGGACCTTTAAATGGCGTGTGTTGTTTTGATCGCTGATATCCCTTAATGTTAACACTAATAAAATAACATTTTATTAAAATAATTAATTGAAAAAACCTCACCGAAAGGAGTAGCACGGAGCTAAATAAGCACGTCTTCATAATTATTCGATGTTATGTGATATTTTAAAATATTTTAGTGACTACTTATCACAGAGCCCAATACAAAATTAATAGCCGCACTTTTCTTTACGAATTTATATTCTTACTCGGGTCCGTTTACACATTCGACGGTTGCAAACTTAAAATTTAAAAAAAAGTTAGAAAATAATTCATGGACAACATAAAGATATTTGCCCAAGTGTACGATACATAATTTTAATATTAATTTGTTCTTGAGTTGTCCTTAATATTATAATTAACAAAACATTTTGTGTACAGTCACCGGGACAAGGCTTCACAAATTCTTAATTTTATCTTGGCAATTGTGCCTTTGTTCGGTTCATAGATATATATCTAAATAGACGCAAGTGCACCTGGTTCGCGTACCCAATGTAAAATAATAACGCTTAGTTCTACGCTTCAGCAGAGCTACCACGAAAGGGCGCGACTTGCGCAAGAGCGACATAAAGCGTGAGATGTCTATGTGAGAACAGTTTATCGTGCTAGCGCTACAGAACGCACCCGGCCGTCATCGTAGTTAAAAAAGGTACCTGGCTGAGTAAAGAAATAGATTTCTCATAGATGGCGCTACGGCAAAAAGTCGTTAAAAACTATAAACAAAGATCTGCAGCAAGCACATAGAAAAATTCATAAATCCGCTAGTTCCGTGGCTTAATTTTCGAATTCAAGAATTTTTTCTAAGTGTTTGACTTTTGTGTTAATAATTATAACAAACTAGTTTCACAAAAATAATTGAATATGGTGGTCAAACATCGTCACATTCAATAGATTTAAAAAAATTATATGTATTGTAGTGACTAACAAAACAATCTGTATGTGTGGTTAATGCCTTCTGTAGCTGACTGTACAATAAAATAAAAAAAAATAATTACAATAATTTTCCTTACAAATTAAAACACATTTGTGTAAATGTTAAAGAGATACAGCTATAATGTAATATAGAAACGATTGCAAAGAACACTAAATAAAGGTCGTAAGGTTCACTATTTAATGTCTACTTTTGTTATTTATATAATAAATATTTAATAATCGTTAACAACCGTGAATCTTTTGATATATATGTATTAATATTTAAACAACTGTTAAGTTTTGCGAATAAAAAACACCAGTACCAATTTAAACCGCAAACAAATGTAGGTGGACGATACGTGTTATAGAAAAATTATCTACCTATCCCGTCGAGTATATAACCAGAAATAGAGACGAAAAAAGGGTCATCCATCGCTGGCAACTCATCAGTCAAATGGCACTGATGTCACTTTTAAATATCAACTCTCGTTTGCACTGAAATCACGATTAGAATGCTGAAATAGTACAGCGCCAACAACTGACCTGTGTGTACGTCTCCGTATATTCCAAAAATATTCTGTATTTATTGTAATAAAGATATTTCTAACTATGGGGGGCTGTTCCATTCGGTGGTGTCGGAAAAACAGCAAAACATCTAATTACAAAACAAACTGAATCACATTTCATCGGTAATTAAATATTAAATTATGTAACTTTTCAATTTTCGTCCATTTCAGCAAAGCACAAGTTAAACTGGTAGATTTGAAGTGAAATAATTGACGACACCCGTCAATTGTTTCGAATTCGAGCTGGCCAATCGGAGCGCATTTGTCAGCGTAATGATATGGCAGAATAGTTTTCAAACAAATTAAATGACATTTCGTCTCTATTTCTGGTTATATACTCGATGACCTATCCCATAAAAATGGTACTGTTAAGTGAGGCCTATTGTCTCCTAAAGCAGAGCGGATACCATTGTCAAAAGTCTAATGGTGGACGAAACACATCTCTATCGTGTTTCCCTGGCCAGCAGATTAAGCTCCCCTGCATACGCAGTCCGCAGAATGCGTGTGCTTACCGATGTTATAGTACCGGCACGCTATGATGGCCATTTTTACAGATTAGAAAAAAAATAATCAAATGCGAGTATAACTTTTTAGATTTGTAACTAGTATTGCTAGGGGTAGCTGATTAAAAAGTTTTTTATAAAACGAAAATAAAAATGTTTACTTAATATATCGTCAATTCGAAACTACACACATCAAAAGTGTCTAGGGATCAAGTGAATATTTTTGAAATAAAAATTATTTAAGCAATATTTACCAAATCCAGTCTTCCAGGACGACTTCTTACTTTAATGCTTATGTTTTATTTAACCGCTTACCCCTATATTTAATTAAAATAAACTAAAATTGATGTTTTTGCAAATTGTGGGAAAAAACTCAAATTAACGGCGTCAATTAAATGACAAAAAAATGGCGAAAATGATGATTTTGCTTATTTTTATTGTTAAGATAAGAAAATTAATCATCTGTATTTCCACCATTAACACGAATCACACAATTACAGCGATTTGGCGTACTCATCTTAAGCATGAAGATGAGTTCATCAAAATCACTTTGAGGAATGGCCGCCCATGTGTTTTGTAACAAGTCAAAATATTGTTGTAGAGTATGTACGGTATGCATACTCGGCACAGCTCTTCTTTGAAGCATATCCCATGCGTGCTCAATTGGATTGAGGTCTGGCGATTGAGCAGGCCACGGCAGAACGTTGATACGAGCTTCGGCAAGAATGCGTGTTACGACTCTAGCCGTGTGTGGACGTGTGTTGTCATGCATTAGTTGAAATGAATCACCCAACTGGCCTCGCAAAGGGATGATAACATCTGAAACAATCCTCTCTGCGTAAACTTGAGCATTGAGGTTACCCCTGATCCAAATGAGATCGGTTCTTCCGCCGATCCAAATACCGGCCTATATCATTATTATTCCCCCACCATATGGATGAACTTCCTGACAATATCTCAAACGGTCATGACGTCCAGATGTTCTCCAAACTCGAGTACGTCTTGTATCCGGTCTCATACCGAAGCGGGATTCATCCGAAAAGCACACATAGCGCCAGTCTTCTTCCTCCCAGTTTCTGTATTCGCGAGCCCATCGTAAACGGGTCCTGCGATTGCAGGGTGCAATAGGTGGAACTCTGAGCGGCCTTCGGGATCGCAGACCCACTTCACGTAAACGATTTCGGATTGTTTGATCGCTTATTAGCAATCCTGAGGAGCTGTGGAGCCTCGTAACCAACATCATGGCGGCCATGGTACGATTCCGTCGAGCAGTATTTTGGATATACCGGTCCTGTCTGCGAGTCGTGAATCGTGATGCGAGATCGTCCTCCATGTCGCTCGGCCACGCTGCCCGTCATGCGATGGCGCGTCCAGAGGCGACTTATGACGATCTGGCCACGCTGCCCGTCATGCGATAGCGCGTCCAGAGGCGACTTATGACGCTCTGTGTAGTGTTAAGAGTGAAAGCCACAGCACGTTGCCTGGAGCCAGCTTCCAACATTCCGACGGCTCGCATCATCACTTCTCGGATTAAATGATGTCGTCTCTCCATAATAATGTAAATTGTTTCGGTTCCGATGCAGATATTGTAATGATTTTGTCAAAATGCTATAACTCATTTTTATATAAAACCACATTGACAATCGATTTTCTTCTTATTATCGAATTTTAAACAATATTCCTTATTTAAATGTTAAAACTCACTAAAAAGTATCAATAGCGATACAAAAAAGTTAATATAATTAACCCTAATTGCAGCAATACTCTTAAACGTATTTGATCCCTAGACACTTTTGATGTGTGTACTTTGTTTTGCATTGAGCTTTGACGCGAGTTTGCCGGAAGTAGAAGTTGTGCTGGCCAGCGATCCCCTAAGTGACGATAGTGTTAGATTTCATTTTTTTAAATTTTGAAAAAGAAATGCCGAGTTATGTCGTAAAATTATACATCCTAAATTTTACTGCACGTCACCATTGACAACAATGTACAGCAATTAGCTCCTTCGACTTAGTTATGAATTAATGCGAAACTTGATGAGCGGACAAACATCAAAACGGCCATCATAGCGTGCCGGTAGCAGCCGGTGCTATAGTACTGCTAGACTAGTTTACTTTAGTTACTTCCATAGTATAATGTCTTGGGATTCTCATGTGGGGTAAAGCGGCAGCCATACAAACCATATTTGTATTGCAAAAACGAGCGATTCGTTCTGCGTACCGTCTAGGCTCTCGGGTTTCTCTCAGAGAAAAGTTTAAGGAGACTGGTATCATGACTGTGGCATCACAGTACATTTACTCAAATATTTTTGTACCCCCGTAAAAATATACATAATTTCATTGAGAAAGAATAGAAATATCCATAATAATAATATTAACCTAGAGCTTATCCAAACTCATTGTACCACGATTTCGTTTAACCAAGGTAAACGACTCTTTTGGGACATCTTATAAAAGTGGTTCCAAATGAAAACCAACGTTACGAGCAGGCGAGCTGTGACATTGTGCTGAGTTGCATCCGTTTCAGCTTATATTTGCAATCATTATTTGTTTTGTTTTGTTCCTTGTAAGTCTTAATAAGCTGAATAAACGTTTCCTTCTTTATTTCTTTTCTATTAAAGGTTATTATGCAGCTTCTGCGTACTTGGATGACAAAAATGGATGGCAGGTTTTCTCGATTTAAGATGTTGACGATAAGCATTGTAAATGATAAATGTATTCAAATGTATATTTACAAAGTGCAAGGCCTAGACTTTCTCGTTCATTCTTCTCAGGTGAATCTGCCCTACGAATGAACAGTATAAAGTTAATTCAATATGACGATTTAAACTTTAATTTGCTTACCCATGACATGTGAGTTTGAGTTTGTTTAACTAAATTGTGTTTAACTAGTCAGGCTTTCGGTTTTATTTTATTAGATATGTGTGAAAGATATGTGAGAACATGAGACCTGTGAGAACAGGAATTTAAAGAAAAAGAAACGATGTTTTATCATGAAGAGTTTTATTTACATCGAACTAATATTTGTTCATATTTTACGTTAAATTCAAATGACGATTTTTATTCAATGTACACACGCCAGTATATCAAGCCACACATTGACGTATCTTGTTCCGTTGCACTGGAAGCCATTTTCGAACAAAAATGTGTAGTCTGATGTGCCGTTGTCCGTACACTCCACTTTATTATTGTTTCATGACACGCATTATAAATAAAAGATCCTACCAACTGCACATGTCTAGGCACACTTCTTCTGTTTTAAAATTGTTCTGGTTGCCGAAGCATCCTCCGTAAGGGAATAACTGGCATTCTCCCTCGCTATCGTTCCAATAATATCTGAAAACAATCAATGAAAACATTAGAACGTGTTTAAAAACAACGTTTTCTCAAACATACTTATACTTTCAAAAATGGAATACGGAAAGTTTGTAATTTATGGCCCATGCGGCTCCTTCCCGGCCAAGGCCTGCAAAGTAAGTATAAAAATCCATTACTGTCCTCTTCTCTAAACTTTTAAATGTACCTACTAACAATGAACTATATGAACAGGCAAAAGAAAAACTCATACAGTCAACTGCTCAGTGTTCATAACTGCTACAATTAAAAATACCTACATGTACCGCTTACTTAAAAAGAAAGAAAATGGCAGTAACACTAACTAAAGAGTTTTGGTATTCTTTTGTTTTTTCGTCTTTTTTGTATTTTGGTCGCGAAAATGAGAGCTAGTGAGAAGAGCGATAACGAAAATACAGTAATAAGATATACTCGCAAAATTCAAACACATCACCAGAAGTTCGGCAGACTATTAATGTGCCAGGATTAACAACAACATTTTCTTTTTGCAAAATTGTCCTAACATGTCAAATATTACTTTTAATATTAATTAATATTTTTTTACTATTTCTATTACACATCATCCTCTTTTTAGTCCTTTATTATTTCCTCACATTCTTTGAGAAAAATTCTATACATGCATCGGCGCGAACGGGGATTGCTGGACTCGTATTAATAACTCATGCTCGTCCAGTAATCCCTTACTTCCCGGCCTCTGCAATAATGTACTACGGCGGCAGATGGTAAGGTAATAAAAGTTAATAAAATTACTCTTGTTGTAATAAGGCCACATCTGCGAAATGGCATGCATTTAAATGATCATTGTAATTTTGCAAAAACAGCACTGCCCTGCTAAGCCCAAAGGCGTTAGTTCTAAGATACGCCCTTTTAGTTTTTTTTATACCATTCAGTAGCTATAATAATTTGGCACCTAATGGTATAATAGAAATAGCGCTACCTACCTTAAAACATTTAAAAAACCACTAAGAAGTATTTTCATATCTCAATTTTACCTTAAATTACTAATAGATTTGGCGGCTTTCTTTATAATCAAAGTAGTGGTATCTCACAAAATAGGTATAATGGTACCATTTATGGATAATTTAGGTATGTTAGTAAATCTATTAGTCAAAATACGTATAAATAAGTTTAGACATCTTCAAAAAGATTTATTTTTGAAGGTGCGAAATTCCAATTAATAAAAAGTCGATTTTCTCAAAACTTACTCCGATTGAGACAGCGCTTTCTGGCTTATCAGGGCAGAGCAGGCAAAAAAAATCTAAGCCATCATCGCTTTTTATTAGTATACGCAGTATATTAGAATAGTAGAAGTATACGCAGAGAACCCTGAATACACTAAGGGTGCGATATAACAACGCTTTTAGGATGCTGATGGGGCTGCCGCGACACTGTAGTGCATGTTCACCGAGGTGCACACAGATGGCTTTCATGCCATTATGCGCAAGAAGGCTGTCTCACTTACGATGCGTGTGCGCGGCAGCGCTACTAGCATCCTAGCCGTTGTTGCCAATAGGCTGGACTGCCCCTACCAACTACAACATTGGGTGCAACTACACGTGCGTAGGGTAGTGGTCTAGACTTTCACTTCTTTTCACTAAAATTAAGTAATTTTGTATTGCACTAACCATAGCACGTAAGAAAAATTTACTGTATTATGGATCATGGTCCGAAATAAATAATTCTATTCTATTCTATTCTATTGATATTTTTTCTTTGAGACATAAAATAAACTAAAACAATGGATATTTTAATCTGTTCTGAGCTACGCAAAAAAATATGTATGTAAATATGACATTAAAAATAAAATTTAGATAATAATTTTTAAAAATAAGTAATAAATGTTGATTATATTTGTATACTAATATGATATTAATTATAATATAATTTGACCTGAAATCATGTTCGGAAACGCAATCGCATCTGCTTTTTCATATTCAAACCTAACCTAACCTACTAAATTGAAGGCGCAACCAAGATTTGACCTAAATGAAAAAGAGGATCAAATATTATTCTTTAATACCAAATACATTGACTATATAAATTTAGTCGATGACTAGAATACCAAATGCATTGAGTACATTTATGTTCTCGAGTACATAAATGTACTTGATGACCGATGATAGATTGGTTCTATTTTGAAAGTTATATAATTCCAAATTGCATCGATTTAAAGTAAATAAATAACATTCTTCAATTTAGATTGAATTGTCTATGACACAAGAATTAAAATAATAATTGTTAAGAAATTTAAAAAACTAACCTGGTGCCATTAACTGGACAAGGTCCTGAATGTGGTTCCAATTGACACGACCAGGGATCTAGAAAAGAAATAAAATTGCTAACTTCCTCTTCTTACTTAAGAACTAGGCTCTTGTCAGTGGGGTATTCGTCAATCACCTATGTTGAGCGCCTTGACTTCGAATTTCTAAACGACACTAACTTTTTCCCTTGTCTAGATGGGTAGATAGATATTTTTTCTTTTTTTATACGAGACAGAATCGGCGAACAATACGTGCCGTATCGAGCAGGACCGCCTTCTGCATTTGTGCTGGAAGCGACACGCCACAGAAATCCAACCGCCTCAAACTGTTAGAAAGGCTGACTGTAATTAACCCATTTGCGGTGATCTCGTGCGCCAGGTCGAGATACTTCCGGCGTTTCTCGGTTTCAGCTTTCACGAGACCCTCGTCATGCGGGATGGTGACGTCCACAAGAAATACCCTCGACTGCGATCGATCCAATATCACAATATCAGGCTTATTTGCAAGAATAGTCCTGTCCGTGTTAATAGATCGATCCCAATAGATTTTGGTGCGGTCATCTTCGAGTATTGGCTCCGGTGAATACTTGTAATATGGCAACCTCTGTTGCACTAGTCCGTACTTGAGAGCGATTATAGTTATTGTTATTATTATTATCATTATCATCATCATCATCATCATCATCATCATCACCATCACCACCATCACCACCAATACCACCATCATCACCATCATCATCATCATCATCACTGTCACTGTCACTGTCACTGTCACTGTCACTGTCACTGTCACTGTCACTGTCACTGTCACT